TGGGAATTGAACTTGTACTCAACCGCTTGGGGGTGTGACAACTTCACCACTTCACTAAGTCGCCACACCCTTTATTTATTATTTTTATTTTTTTTATAAATAAAAAAATATATAAATACTGTTTCTTTTTTTTTAAAAAAATAAATGTTGAATTTTCTTTTGTATATCAACTATTTGAATTTTAATATTTGCTGCTTTTTAATAATAATCTTACTTTGTACACTTCTTTATAAATCTAATGAATTAATCGAAATACTTTTGACCATAAAACAACTTTTGGCATTGGTGATAACAAATATTAAACTTATAATTTTAGAGCTTGTATACTTATTAGACAATTAAAACTGGCAGCAGCAAAAAAAAACAAACTAAAAAAACAAAACCAAAAACAACAATTAAAACAACAAAAAAAACAACAACAAAACTAACAAAAAAAATAACTAATAAAAAAAAATTACAAGTTAGTTTTAGTTCTTGTAATTGTCGAAAAAACATATTGTGATTTAAATATAAACAAAAATGTTAAAAAAAAAAAGATATAATAATGAAAGTAGTGCAAAAAAAAAGGTATGTGCTATTGGTTCTTGTGTTGTTGGTGATGAAAAAGCTTATAATGCATGTGGAAGTAAAAGACCTGATAGATTAAAAGTTAATAGAATAAACTTTGGGGCAACTTTTAAAATTGATCGATTATATTATAATGATACATTATATAAATATGTAAATATATGGAGATTATTTTAAGAAGAAGAAAACAAGCCTAGATTTAGTAAATTAGTCTTATCAGATATTGCAATTCATTTGGTTTTAACATCAGTTCACACAGGACAAATCAAAAATTTAATTAGAATTGTGCCATGGGCTATAGACCCACCTGATAGAGATAAGGATAGTAAAGAATTAGATGTTACAGGTTCAATGATTAAACATTATAAAGTTCCTGTTGCTGGCAGTAAAACTTTACTAACTTCTTTAATTCAAAAAATGAGATTACATTTTTTTTTGGTTAGAATTTGTGATAAAGATTTGGCAAGAAAAATACAGAATGATATAACTCCTAAAGAAATTTTTATAGATTCAAAAAAATTAGATGACCCAGAATTGAAAGATTATTTTCAAATCTTAGCTAAATATTATAGAGAAATTAATTGTGATCAAACAGGATGTTTACTAAAAGACTGGAATTTTTATATATGTTATCAATTTAGCAAAGATGAACAAAAAGTTTGTATGCTCCCAGAAGAAGATGATACAGACAGTATCATTTTTGACACAACAAATTTTGTATTAATCTTAGTGGTTGATTATATACCTAGATTTTTTAAAATAAGAAGACTTCGTAACAAAATACTACCACCAGATACTCAAAATCCAAATCAACAAGATCCTCGATATTTAACAAATAATAATATGTATTTTTTAGGTCAAAATTTTCAATTCAAGCTAGACAAACAGGTTTACCAGTATATTTTAGCGATGGAGTAATTAAAATCGCATATAGATATAATGCCAATATTGAAAATACACATGAAATAGCAAATATAATTGCATAACAAATAATATAAGTACAACAAGAAGAAAATGGTGATGGGCAACCGATAGAAGAAGTTGAAGATGCAGAAATTTAATTTTTTTTAAAAAAATATATAAATATAGGAATTTTTTTTTTTTTATTTTTAATTTTTAATTTTATTCAAAATGTCTTGTAAATACAAATATAATAATAATAAATTTAAAGATTGTTGTTATTA